CACTCTACCCACTTGAGCCACAGCACCACTTCTGGTTTTATGGTGGTTTACTGGAGATAGGAGTCTCACAGTCTTTCCTGCCCGGGCTAGCTTTGAACTATGATCCTCAGATCTCAGCCTCCTGAGTAGCTAGGATTACAGGCGTGAGCCACCGGTGCCTGGATTTAGCTTTGTTTTAAATAGAATATTGTCTTGCATTTTTACCAGTGCCAACCTAGACTGCTATCCTCTTTATACTTCCTGCATAGCTGTTATGACAGGCATACACTATGCCCAGCTTTATGGATTAAGGTGGGATTTCACTAACTTTTTGCGAGACCTGGCCTCAAATTGTGACCTTCCCCATCTCTGTCTCTTAATACTTGTGAATATAGACAAGCAAGTAACAATGTCTGGCTTGTTGATATCTTTGAGAGAGAGAGAGAGGCAGGGCAGAGAAGGAATTCTCTCTGAAGGAGCTTAACAGAGGAGAAAGGCAATGACTGCTTTAAGAATTTTTGCTAGATCAGAGGTGAAGCTTAGAGGTAGAATACTTTCCTAACATGCACAAGGCCCTGTATTCAACTCCTAGCACTGAAAAGGGATCAATAGATTGGAGTAGCAGCTAGAGGGGTCAAGGAAAAGCTTTTGTTTTTGAAAGGCTGACATGCTGAATGCCAAGAGGCATGAGAGTGAGTGCCTGGTGGGGGGCATTGATAAATGCATGAAGGGGTGGAATCAGGGTCCCTGTGCAGGGGCTAGTGTTCCATAGGAGCCAAGCAAGTTCACTGTCACAGAAGGAATAGCAGAGGAGGGATGGGAGACATGGCCAGAGCAGGCGATCTGGCACCCAGGTGACAAGATAGTCTGTGCTGCTAGGAGCTGGTGGCTTATGCCTTTAATCCTAGCTACTCAGGAGGCTGAGATCTGAGGATCATAGTTCAAAGTCAGCCTGGAAGCCGGGCGCTGGTGGCTCACGCCTGTAATCCTAGCTACTCAGGAGGCTGAGATCTGAGGATCGCGGTTCAAAGCCAGCCCAGGCAGGAGAGACCGTGAGACTCCATCTCCAATAAACCACCAGAAAACCAGAAGTGGCGCTGTAGCTCAAGTGGTAGAGCGCTCGCCTTGAGCTGAAGAACTGAGGGACAGCGCCCAGGCCCAGAGTTCAAGTCCCACGACCGACAAGAAAAAAAAACAACAAAGTCAGCCTGGGCAGGAAAGTCCCTAAGACTCTTTTTTTTTTTCCTTTTTGCTTATGTGGTGCTGAGGAATCAAACCCAGGGCCTCATGCATGCAAGGCAAGCGCTCTACCACTGAGCTACCTTCCCAGCCCTCTTTTTTTTTTTTTTTTTTGTCGGTCATAGAGCTTGAACTCTGGGCTGGAGCACTGTCTCTCAGCTCTTCAGCTCAAGGCAAGCACTCTACCACTTGAGCCATAGTGCCACTTCCGGTTTTCTGGTGGTTTATTAAAGATAAGAGTTTCACAGACTTTTCTGCCTGGGCTGACTTTGAACCATGATCCCCAGATCTCAGCCTCCTGAGTAGCTAGGAGTACAGTCGTGAGCCGCCGGCGCCCGGCCCCTAAGACTCTTATCTCCAATTAAACACCAGAAAACTGGAAGTGGGGCTGTGGTTCAAGTGGTAGAGTGCTTGCCTTGAGCTGAAGAGCTGAGGGAAAGCACCCAGACCCAGAGTTTAAGCCTCCACAATTGACAAAAAAAAAAGTAGTCTGTGTTATGTTTGTGAATAAAATCCAGGACTAGGAGCCAATAAGGAGGCGGGGAGGGGTGGGGGAGAATGCTGGAAGGTCAGAGAGTGGAGAAAAGGCCTTTCAGACTGTGGGTAACAATTTGATGAGGCTTGTGATGAGCATGTTATATACATTACTTTATTTCTCAAAGCACTGCTTGAACTTTAGTCCTTTGATACTCTAGTTAAAACAGTATGATTTGAAGAAGTCAAATCAGTTCTTGGATTGGTATGGTGAAGAACTGGAATTTCAGTAGTTCTGTTTTCTTCCAAAGCCTCCACTCTTAAAACATTTGAAAATAATGCTTGTTTCATCCAATCAATTAAAAATCTCTATTTCAGTGTTTTTTGAATTCATCTACAAGTACAAAAAAATGGTGTGAATTGTTAGTGAATGAAGCTACTTTTTAAAAAAATCTATGCAAAATTTCCATACTTGCTAAAAAGGTTCTTTTATTTATTAAAGGTACTATATAGGCTAAAAAAAAGAATCAAATGTGGCAATCTAGGAGGATGGCTGGGCACTGCTCAAACCCCCTTAAGACCTGTGCTCTCAAGTTGGCACTGTAATCCTAGCTACTCAGGAGGCTGAGGTCTGAGGACTGAGATTTGAAGCAAGCCCAAGCAGATAAGTCTGATAGACTCTTAACTCCAGTTAACCACCCAAAAGCCAGAAGTGGAGATGTGGCTTAAGTAGTAGAATACCAGCCTTGAGTGAAAAAGTGCCTATGACCTAAGTTCAAGTCCCAGCATTGGCAAAGAACACACACACACACACACACACACACACACACACACACACCCCTTATGGGCAGTGTTAATAGTTTGGAAATAGGTTAGAAATCTGGAAGAAAGTTGGGAACTATGAAGTACTAGCTTAGAAATGACATCCCGTGAGAAAGAGTACAATTATATCTGAAATCAGTAATTATAGAGTATTGTGCCCCTTGGCATCCAGAAACCATGTTGGAGTGGTCCTGCATACCACTCACTTTCCTTCCATTTTCACAACTCAGGGCTCTGTAATTTCAAGACCCTAGCTCTGGAAAGAACACTTTAACTAGTGGAGACATCCAGAATCCCAGTAAACTATAAGCTATGCCTGTTACCTGATCACACTAGGCAACCTGTGCCAAGAGGCAAGTAAGTGAGAAAATGAGCTGCCATCTTGGGAAGATAATGGGCTCTATCAGGAAGAAGTTAAACGTTTTATAATTGGGCTGGGCAGAAAATGTTTGGCACTCAGGGGTTCCAGTAGGGCACCTTTTGTAGTCCTCTGTCAGATTCTGACAGACAATCTCAGCCTGGAAAAATATAATGATCCAGAGCTCAAATCCTCATGGACAAAAGTCTAGGACATCCCACTATTGTGTGAGAAGAGAGGAATCTGGAAGTAGTAAGGAGGGAGATGACTCCTGGTGAGAGTTCTGGGACCAACAGCAGCAATGAGGACTATGATTCTTCCCACTAACTGGCCAGCATCCTAGAATAGCCATTTCTGGGTGATGTGTATTTATGTGAGTGGTTGGTAGGGACAGGGAGACCATTGAAGATACTGTTACATCTTCACATCCTGAGCCTAACCAAGCCCATCACTCCCTCTGTTCCCAGGAGTGATGGACATCCTAAGGCCCAGAATGAGACCCACTTAGTGAGAAAATTGCCTTGGCCAGAAGGAAATGCCTCATGAAGTATACATCACTCCTGGGAATCAGTCAGAACCATGACTGGTCCACAGGAAGATACACAGGTCTGGTTCCCATACCGTCATTCAAGACAACTCTGAACTGAGTTGAGTTTTGAGACCAGCTCCAGAACTCCTCCTGGGATTACCTGAGGCTTCAGTGTGACTGCTGAGGGGTTCCCTCATTGCTTTCTGTCTAATCTGCTTCCTTCCTTCTCACAGTTGTCTTTAAGATCATGCCTCAGTCTCTTGCCCATAAACCTTCATGAACTGATTTCCAAAAGGCTAACCTGAAACAATCAAAAATTGAAATAAGCCAAATACAACTGGTTCATCCTGTCTACTTGGGAGGCTGAAAACCGGGAGGATCACAGTTTGAAGCCAGCACAGACAGAAAAGTCCAAGAGACTCTATGTCCAATTAACCAACAAAAAATACAGGGCTGGTGACCTGGCAGAGAGGTTGAAGCCTTAAGTTCAATCCTTAGTATCACCCCCCCCCAAAAAAAAAAAAAAAAAACCAAACCAATGAAACAAAAACTGAAAAAAAAAATCAAGTAATGTGAGTAAAATTTCCAAGATATAGCAATAAAAACTGACAGCGCTGGGTGACTGTGGCTCACACCTGTAATCCTAGGAGGCTGAGATCTGAGGATTGTGGTTCAAAGCCAGCCAGGGCAGGAAAGGCCAATTAACCACTAGAAAACCGGAAGTGGCCCTGTGGCTCACGTGGTGGAGGGCTAGCCTTGAGCTGAAGACCTGAGAGATAGGTCCAGAGTGCAAGCCCTTGACCAACAAACAACAAAAAACTGACTTAGCTGGAAGAAAGGAACATTGCCTTAGAACAGCGATGTTGGTAGGGTGGAAAAGAATGTCAGAAGCGGGCCATTCTGAGGTGGCAAGGAACTCCGAGGGGTCTGACAGCTTCATCAACGTGGTGGCTCTTAAAAAAAGCTACATTACAAATGCCATCAGTAGACTAAGTACAAAATGAATTAGGCAAGCTGTGGGCCAGGGCATGGGGGTGAGCGGGAAAGGGGAGAACTGGGGAAAACTAAGGGCCACATTGTCCCAGAGAGAAACCCACGCCCGGCCTGCCTGTGACATGGTGACCCCTCTGCGCAGCACCTGCATAACAACAACGGTTATATGTTCATTTAAAAAGCGAAATTACTACCAAGATACAACGACGGAAGTGGGGTGCTCGGCGGTTAGGGGGACGATGCGCGGCGGCCGAGGGTCTGGAGCCCACCCACAAGAGGGAGAGCACGAGGACCGGAAGCCAGCAGCCAGCCAGGGGCTGTCTACGGCCCAACCGGAAGAGGGGGTGTCACGAGGGCCGGAAGCCAGCAACCAGTGAGGGGCTGTCTGCAGCCTAGCCGGAAGAGGGGAGTCACGAGGACCGGAAGCCTGCCGCCAGCGAGGGGCTGTCTGCGGCCCGACCGGAAGAGGGGGGTCACGAGGGCCGGAAGGCAGCAGCAGCCTGCTGAAGCAGCCTGCGCGGGTACCTCGCACTTGGGGCTGGGAGTTGGAGAGTCAAGGCCGTCTTCCGAAAGACCAGTTTCTTAGCCCTGGCCACTCTCGGAGAGATGAAGGGGCAGCAGAGGGCAGCGGAAGCAGGAGACAAGGCCGCGCAGGTTCACAAGGGAGCCGTGGTTTTGGGGAAGGACCCAGCGGGCGAGGCCATGGCCGGCCTCTACTCAGCCGCTTCCTTTCCTGTGCTCCAAGTCAGGTATGTCTTCAAAGCCAACCATGAGAACCAGCTGACGTCCAGGGTGGCCCAGGTGTCTGAGGGGCAGGTGGATGGCCAGACAAAAGGCCCTGGCACCATCAGTGGCCACCCTGACGCTCAGCCCACGACCCACGCGGCCATCCAGACTGCTTTCACCAGCGATGCTGCAGCTGACACCAAGGAGACGGCTGTTGGGCCTTACTGTACTTACTTCCTCAGCCTTGAAGTGGAAGATAGGAAAGGAGGCACTACATCCGGGTCTACAGCTGCCACTGTTAGCAGGAGGCGAGCAACTCCTCCTTTCAACGGGCCGCTCTTGATGACGTCACCACAGGAAGTGCTGGGAGGAAGCCTACAGTCAGTTGTCCCCAGAAGCCACCCATATTACCCCAAACCACGGTCTCCCTGGACAACTCAAGATGTGGAACGTAGGATTCAACATAATAAAGTGGAGCGCCGCTGCCAAGACAAGATCAACAGCTGGATCATGGAGCTGGCCAAGATCATCCCAGACTGCTCTATGGAGTACCCCAAGTCTGGCCCCAGTAAAGCTGGAATTCTATCCAAAGCCTGGGAGTATATCCAGGAGCTTCGACAGAGTAACCAGTGGTTGTCTGAAGAAACACAGGGACTAGTTCAACTGCAGCTGGACAATGATGACCTTCGACAACAGGTTGAAGATCTTAAAACTAAGAATCTGCTGTTACGAGCTCAGTTGCAACACCATGGGTTAGAGGTCATGAATGACAGCAATTTGCAGGGTGCCAGTTCCAGAGGCTCATGCCTGTAATCCTAGCTCCTCTGAGGATCACAGTTCAAAGCCTTTGAGACTTTTACCTCCAATTAACCACCAAAAGTGTTTGTGTTCAGTGGTAGAGCACCAGCCTTGACCGAAAAAACTAAAGGACAACATCCAGACTCTGAGTTCAAGCCCCAGTACTGGAAAAAACAACACAGAAAAACACAAAAAGAATTCAGGTGCTTTGGGCTTGAGAACTGGAGAAAGCAACAGCACCCCTTTCTTTATCCACTTGTGGTGTAGGGCTTGGGGAATTTGTAATGTATGTCTTTGATTCAAGCCCCTGTGGTGTAGTATACTGCCATCCTGTGGAACTGTGTATACAGAACCCACAGCCTTGCTTGTCTTCCTCATGCTTCCTGCGCTCTTGTGCTCCTGTTTCACAATATATGTGCTTTCTCCTTGATGGATTCTGGACACATTAAAGTGGGATTGCCCAGCAGAACTGCTGCTGTCAGGTGATTCTCTGGCTTGCCCCAGGACTCTGGTGCTTCTGTTGGATCTTTGAAGTTTACATGTGTACCTGGCAACTCTGGGGATCAAGCTTAATTAAGAAATAGGGGAAGGGTGCTTAGTGCAGGCTGTTCTCCTGTGAAAGAGAATTGGTCCAACAAATTGCTGAGGCCTCCGAAGTCAGGGAAAAAACAGGCTGGAGCCAGCTTGTCACCTTTTCCCTTATGGCCTCTTTTTTTTTTTCCCTCTCTCTTTAAAGTAAAATTGTTTTGAATCCAAAAGACCAAAAAAAAAACAAGCTGGGTATTGTTAGCTCACACCTATGATCCTACGTACTCAAGAGACAGCGCTGAAGATTGTAGTTCAAGTCCAGCCCAGGTAGGAAAATCCATGAAACTCCAATTAGGAAGTGGAGCTGTGGCTTAAGTGGTAGATCACTAGCTTTAAGCAAATAAATAAAAAGCTCAGGTCCTGAGTTCAAGCTCCAGGACCAGCACAAAAAAGAAAAGAAAAAAAAGGAAAGCTAAAGACAAGAAGGGATAAAGGGTTAAAAAAAAAAAGATCTCTAGAGGTTGGGAAGGTGGCTCAGTGGTAGAGTGCTTGCCTTGCATGCCTGAGGCCCTGGGTTCGATTCTTCAACACCACATAAGCAGAAAAAGCCAGAAGTGGTGCCATGGCTCAAGTGGTAGAGCACTAGCCTTGAGCTGAAGAGCTGAGGGACAGTGCCCAGGCCCAGAATTCAGGCCCCACAACTGACCAAAAAAAAAAAATGTCTTTAGGAGAAAAATAGAAAAACCACAATTTTCAATAGAAGATAAGCTAATGAGAAGTTAGCTCTTAACTTAAGCCTTTAAAAACAATAACTTTTGCCAGGTGCCGGTGGCTCACACCTGTAATCCTAGATACTCAGGAGGCTGAGATCTGAGGATCACGGTTCAAAGCCAGCCCGGGGAAGGAAAGTCTGTGGGACTCTTATCTCCAATAAAGCACTAGACAACCAGAAGTGGTGCTGTGGCTCAAGTGTTAGAGCGCTCGCCTTGAGCTGAAGAGCTGAGGGATAGCGCCCAGGCCCAGAGTTCAAGCCCGATGGCCAACAACCAAAAACCCAGTAACTTTCCCATAGTGGTGCTGCCTTTAAGCTGGGCGCTGGTGGCTCACGCCTGTAATCCTAGCTACTCAGGAGGCTGAGATCTGAGGATCGCGGTTCAAAGCCAGCCCAGGCAGGAAAGACCGTGAGACTCCTATCTCCAATAAACCACCAGAAAACCGGAAGTGGCGCTGTAGCTCAAGTGGTAGAGCGCTCGCCTTGAGCTGAAGAGCTGAGGGACAGCGCCCAGGCCCAGAGTTCAAGCCCTACGACCGAAAAAAAAAAAAAAAAAACAAAATCATCCCATAGTGGTGCTGCCTTTAAATCTCAGCACTTGAGAGGCAGAGGATTTCTGCTTTGAGACTGCCCTCTATCTGTCTGTTTCTATCTCTCTGTCTCTGTCTCTTTCACACACACAAGGGAACTTTCCAGTAGAGAAATTTGGCAGACATCTCCATTTCCTTAACCAACTGATTAAAGATAGTATCATCCCTATTTGAGTTGCCATCATGTCCTTCCTTATGGGACTTCCTAACCATATTACTTCTATAGTGTTCCTGCCAAAAGACATAACTTAAATGGAATCATGAGTTTAAGTATCTGTGAGTACAAACTGTGAAACAACCTTAAACACAACTATCCTGTTCCCTGCAAAAAGGTCAAGATCAAAAGAGTCAGTGAGCCAGGCACTGGTGGCTCACACCTATAATCCTAGCTACTCAAGAAGCTGAGATGTGGAGGATTGTAGTTCAAAACAAATTCACGAGGAAAGCCGGAGACTCCCATCTCTTAACCAAAAAGCTTGGGTGGAAGCATGGCATAAATGGTAGCACAAGCAAGCTGAACTAGTGGGAGTTCCTGAATTCAAACCCTGGTACCAGTAAACGAAAACAATGAAAACCCCAGAAACTTCCAACGTAAAAGTGGCTAAATATAAGGTATTATCCTTGTCAAATAATAGCTGAAATTACTATAAACTGATGAAATCTGTGGCCAGATTACAATGTTTTGTCAGTGTTAAATTCCATAATTGTCACTATGGTTCTCTGATTATATGAGGGAACTTTATATATATAATTTTGTGCTAGTCCTGGGGCTTGAACTCAGGCCTCAGCTCAGTTCCTCAGCTATTGTGCTCAAGGCTATTTTGCTCTACCACTTGAGCCACAGCTCTGCTTCTGGCTTATTACTGGTTAATTGGCGATAAGAGTCCCATGGACTTTCCTGCACAGATTGGCTTCAAATTGTGATCCTCAGATCCCAGTCTCCTGAGTAGCTAGGATTAGAGGTGTGAGCTATCAGCTCCCAGCTTGAGGGAATATTTTTGTTCTTAGGAAATACACTAAAGTATTTGGGAATAAAGGGGGCATGGTATCTTCCGATTACTCTCAATGGATACATGGTGGGAAAATGTGTATGTATATGTATGTATGTGTATGGACATATATGTGATTGTACAGTTTGTGTGTAGTTACAAAATAAACCATAGGGCAAAAAGTAAACTAATAAGTGAAGGACTAAAGGTTGTAATTCCTTGAATTTTTTTTTTTTTATTACCATGGCAACTTGGGGCATTGTGCTCTACCACTTGGGCCACACAGTTTGGCTTTTTTTTTTTTTTTTTTTTGGTCAGTCATGGGGCTTGAACTCTGGGCTTGGGCGCTGTCCCTGAGCGCTTCAGTTCAAGGCGAGCACTCTACCGCTTGAGCCACAGCACCACTTCCGGTTTTCTAGTGGTTTTATTGGAGATAAGAGTCTCACGGCCTTTGCTGCCTGGGCTGGCTTTGAACCGAGATCCTCAGATCTCAGCCTCTTGAGTAGCTAGGATTACAGGCATGAGCTCAGCTTGGCTTTTTGCTGGTTAACTGGAATGGATTTATCTGTCTGAGCTTGCTTTAAACCTTGATCCTCAGATCTCAACCCCTGAGTAGCTAGGAGTATAGGCACAAACCATCAAGTGTCCAGCTCTTGAATTATTATTTTGCCAGTCCTGGGGCTTGAACTCAGGGTCTGGGCACTGTCCCTGAGCTTCTTTTGCTTAAATCTAGCACTCTACCACTTGAGCCACAGTACCACTTCTGGCTTTTTCTGTTTATGTGTTACTAAGGAATCAATCCCGGGGCATCATGCATGCTAGGCAAACACTCTACCACTAAGCCATATTCCCAGCCCTTGACTTTTTTTTTTTTTTACTTATTTTTATAATTCTTATTTTACGTTTGAAAACATGTCAAAATAAAATTACCAAAGGGGGAGATACTACAAAGCCATGCATGGTGTACACCTGTAAATGAATCAGGAGGGTGAGGCAGGAAAATTGAGTTCAAGGCCAAATAGGACTCTGGAAAAAGAAGTTTATACCTGCCCATTGTTTACTCTTTCAAATGATTCTAAGCCTTTATAGAACTCCAAGAATACTTGCAGAGGGGCTGGGAAGGTGGCTCAGTGGTAGAGCGCTTGCCTTGCATGCATGAGGGCCTGGGTTCGATTCCTCAGCACCACATAAGCAGAAAAAGCTGGAAGTGGTGTTGTGGCTCAAGTGGTAGAGTGCTAGCCTTGAGCTGAAGAGCTGAGGGACTGCGCCCAGGCCCAGAGTTCAGGCCCCACAACGGACAAAAAAAAAAAAAAGAATGCTTGCACAGCCGGCCATAGATAAAGTTTTCCCAGCAGCTTTCTCCTCAGTGTGAGCCACACAGCTGGCTGCACCAGCTGGCCTTACTGTTGTCATGACACAAAGCAGGAATGCTAGAGCATCTGGATGTGACTGGCTGCCTTGTTCTCAATCTTGATGTCCATGTACACCTGAGGATTTGACCAGGCATTTTTTGCAGTGGTCTCTCCCTAGGTGCTGAGGAAACTGCAGTGGGAACTTCCAACTCAAGTAGAAGCATGAGTTCTGCACCCTCTCAGAACACTCTGAACAGGCCAGATGAAGGTGCTAACAGGAAAGACTGTGGCCCTGATGGCCCAGTTGTACAGCAACCAGGGGACAGACCTCAGCACTAACAGGGGTTCCACCTGGTTTGTCTCCCCATGCTCATCCCCACATGCACCAGTTTACTTCTCTGCCCTGCAGCTAGCTCACAATATTTACCTCACTCAGTCTTTGGTTTGCAAGACAAATTGAAGACAAACTTGTCCAGTTAAGCACGGGCTAGGCCTCCACTGTCAGAGCTAAGCTTCTGCTGCGCTGCTGCTTAACAGCACAGCCAAGAAGGGAAGTCTGATGCCCACAAATAGTACAAACCAACACCCAAACCTTTTTCTGAACTAGGAACATGGCTCAACATGGCAAAACACAGCCTAGCAAATATAACGGCTCTGTATTAGAAAATAGGGCAGGGACATATAAATATATATATATCTATATATACACAAAATGAACCAACGTAGATATTTTTCTTAAGAATTATTAGCTACTAGTTGAGTATTTCTTAGTCAAATTGCTTTGAACCAGGATCTGTTTTCAGATTTTGGATCATCTGCCTAGATTTTACCAGTTCATTAGCTCTGATGTGGAAATCCAAAATCTGAAATGAGTTTTATGTAAGCCTTCAAAAGTTTCACAATTTGGAGTGTTCTGATTTATGAGGTGCCATGTGTATGTGTATGTGTGCAATTAAATATACATGTAAAACTAGTACTGGGATTGGAGCAGCCTCACTCACTTGGTTTACTTGCTCAGCTTGTTTGATCCATTTCTACCACTTGAGCCCAGCCCGACTTTTGGATTAATGAGTTGAAATCAAGACTTTTTTGGTTTTAAACCAATTCTGACCTCAGCCTTCTGAGTAGCTAGATTACAGATGTGAACCATGGGCATGTGGTATGCACATAATTTTAATATCAAATGACGTAAAAGTCCTCAAATAATTACAATGTGAATAAAATCACTCTCCTATCTATGCTATCCTCAAATCACTAGGATCAGCCAGGCGCCGGTGGTTCAAGCCTGTAATCCTAGCTGTTGAGGAGGCTGACATCTGAGGATCGTGGTTCAAAGCCAGCCTGGGCAGGAAGTCTGTTAGACTCATCTCTAATAAACCACCAGAAAACCAGAAGTGGTGCTGTGGCTCAAGTGGTAGAGCACTTGCCATGAACTGAAGAGCTGAGGGATAGTGCCCAGGCCCAGAGTTCAAGCCCCATGACCGACCGCCCCCCCCCCCAAAAAAAAATCACTAGATCAGTCATATCAGGAGATATAGTATTTTGTAAAATACCATTCATACATAGAATAGCTATTACTTAAAATGTATTCCCAAGCATGTCATCAGGAATGTGAACATGACCCATTTTTCAGCATCACCTGTTTTATAATTCAGTGGCATCAGAACATCTGTGAAAACTCCAAGAGAAATGAAAAGCAGCAGACGAACTTTGCTTACTCCTTCCAGTTTACTGCAAAAACCATGCATTCTAGCATGGTGCATATGCTAATACCAAGTTACTTAGCTGTGAACAGGCAGAAGATGGGAGGGCTAAAATTCCTGTTGTACCTAACATCATTATATGGACGCTACAGCCTATCTCTAGTTTTTCCTTACTTCCCTTAGAACCTGTTTGCCTCCATGTGCCAGGTTCCTTCCCTCTGGGCTTTTTGCTCATTGTTCCTCTCCATTCTGGTTTTGCTTGAGTCCCACCTGGACTCCTGGCTAAATCTGAATCTTTCATATACATTTCTGAACCCCTAACTGAAGTTTGCACTTGTCATATCTGTACCCATTATTATATGAGTTAATGCTAGAGCTTATAGAATGGGAGCCATTTGGAATGAGGTCTGAGTCTTGGCTCAGGCACCAGGGCCCAGGCCCAGTACTGGCAGTGTCCATTAAGATCCTATACTTCCCTACCTGAGAGGCAACCATCATGCTCCCCATGTTTTGGGCAAGGCTGTCTCAGGCCTCTCAGACCCTTGAGGGCTCAGATATATCCACCAGCAATTTATTTTGAGGGGCTGCTGTCAACCAAATGTATAACCCCTTAAGAAATGTCTGCCAGGAAAGAGACCATCTACTTTGGGGAATTTTAGAGCAGTTAAGAGTCTAGCCCTGGGCTGGGAAGATGGCTCAGTGGTAGAGCGCTTGCCTTACATGCATGAGGCCCTGGGTTTCATTCCTCAGCACCACATAAGCAGGAAAAAAAAAAAAAAAAAGGAAGTGTTGCTGTGGCTCAAGCGGTAGAGCACTAGCCTAGAGCTGAAGAGCTGAGACAGTGCCCAGGCCTAGAGTTCAGGCCCCAAGACCGATTTAAAAAAAAAAAAAGAGCCTAGCCCTTAGTTGAAAAGGAACCTGTCAAGATGGGGAAAATACCAAAAGTAGGGCCTTAAGGGGAACCTGGCCAGAGGACAGGGAGGACGAGCATGCTGTCAGGATAGGCTCTGCCAAGGCTGGCTGACATTGGCCAAAGTTTGTTCCATGTTGCAACAGCTCTACAGATCTGCCTCCTGAGCATTTTCCCATGCCTGGAGGAAACCTTGGTTGCAAAATGGACTTAAGCTGATATGAGGGGCCAGGACAAACCCCAACATGGCCCAAGGAAGAGCATGTATGAGGAGGTGGGGGGTGAGTGCAGCCAATCAGCCAGCAGGCCTTACTCAACGTCCTTGAGGTGTTAACTCTATTGAAACTTAGATTTTTTTTCATTAAAATTAACAAGCAGTTTTATTAACAATTATGAACATGTTGAGGGCTAAATCATATTCTATATAATGAAATGCAACTTTAGAGTTTAAGGTAAATTTCGCTTGGATTATATGGGCAGCACATTCAGAGATTCTCAGGAATAAGAAACAAATGGTCACTACTGTCTACACAACACAGCTGTATCAGAAAAATGAACAAACAGTGCCTTGTAAACTAAGTCTAAAATTAGAATATTTTACTTGTTTAATAGTTTAATCATAACAGAGTAGGATATTGTCCAGAGAAAAAAATTCTCAAAAAGTAGGCGTTTATAAGTTATAACTATTATTCCAAATAAAAGTGAAGCTTAGATTTTTATAAGCCAGACAGATTCAAGGTCTGCTGAGAATACCAGATTTGAATACTTTAACACAACAGGCACTGTTTTAACTGATCATACGTAACTGCTATGCATACCTTTTTACACAAGAATTCTTAAAAGTAGAATAGTAGACTACATGGATAAGACACAGGCAATTTCATGGTTTTTTTTTCCTTTATTGAGAAACTTAAGACTTGGTTACGTCAAATAAAACCAATTTCTGGAGGGAAAAAAACCAAAACCCACAATAGAAAAAAAAGTTAACACTGGGCCACAGAACCCAGAGAATATATTCTTATAATTGAAAAATTCTAGGTGCATCATAATTGACCTTTTGATACAAAATGACCTATGACATTTGCAACTGTGATTCTTGGTGTTGAGGTCCATAGGACAAGCTAGGAATCTTCAAACCTCAAGCTGAATTCCATGAGGGGTTATTTGGCTTTTGACTCCTGAAAAGATAAGCACCAACACTATTAAATACATAAAAGAATTCTATATATTCATTGAGCTCCCTGATAAAACACAACTGACATCCTAGACTGTACATTTCAGCACTGTCCTTTGCACATCCCATCTCTGGCCTAACACTCCTTGGACCTTGATAACCTGGGCATCACCAAGCTGACCTCTACCAATTCACCAGCACTGCTCTTACATCCTCTTTCCCCTTTATCCCTGTATGGTTTCCCTGGAAGCACCTACTACCTAATGCCAGTGAAATTTCACTCACCTAAGCCCCTGCAGGCAGAGTCCATAACCTTCACAAGTCACCTAGAACACACTCCATACTTGCAATTCAGGCATTTCTCTTCTCTTACTAGATCATGACAGCCAGGTCTATCTTGTTTTACAAGTATTATACCACCCTACCAATCTCAGGCCAAACTATGAGTATGCCAATGTGCCAGTACTGGGGCTTGAACTCAATGCTGCTCCTTAGCTTCTGCATTTAAACCTGGTGTTCTTTTATCACTTGGGCCACGGCTTCACTTCTGGCTTTTTTGCTGGTTAAATTGAATATAAGGTTCTCAGGGACTTTCCTGCCACTAGCATAAGCCATCAGCAATGGGCTCTCCATTGTAATTCTTCACAACAATTGACAGGTGATAGAAAGACTCAGGTCAAATGGCAAAATGTACTGGTGGTCTTGCCTATAATCCTAGCTATCCACGAGGCTGTGATCTGAGGACTGTGGTTTCTAAGTTAGCCCAGGCAGCAAAGTCAGTTCAGACTGTCATCTCCAATTAACCACCTACCAGAAAACCAGAAATGATGCTGTGGCCCAAAGTGACAGAGCTCTTTACTTAAGCAAAGAAGCTCAGGGACAGCACCCAGACCCAGAGTTTAAGCCCCAGGTTGGGGTCAGGAAGCAGTGAGTGGGTATGGTGGCACTCTCCTCGGAATCAAGGTTGAGACAGGAATACGGAGAGGAGTATGCAGCCAGGGCTGCAGAGTAGACCTTATCTCAAAAAAAGGTGGAAGGCTCATGCTTATAATCCTAGTTACTCAGGAGGCCAAAATCTGAGGATTGTGGTTCAAAGCCAGCCTGGGCAGGAAAGTCAATTGAGACTCTTACCTCCAATAAAACCACCAGAAAACTGGAAGTGTCATTGTGGCTCAAGTGGTAGAGCAAAAGCTTTGAGCTGAAGAGCTTAGAGACAGTGCCCAGGCCTAGAGTTCAAGCTCCATGACCAAAAAAGAAAAAAGTAGAAAATAAAATAGCTAACCATTGGGGCTGGGAAGGTGGCTCAGTGGTAGAGCGCTTGCCTTGCATGCATGAGGTTTGATTCCTAGGTTCAATTCCACAGCACCACATAAGCCAAAAGAAAAAAAGCCAGAAGTGGCGCTGTGGCTCAAGTGGTAGAGCACTAGCCTAGAGCTGAGGGACAGTGCCCAAGCCCAGAGTTCAGGCCTCACGACCGGACCCCCCCCCCAAAAATAAATAAAAATAAATAAAATAGCTAAACATACGTTTTTCCTTGTCTAAGAGGTAGCAGCAGCAACAGCGCCCACCTTTTGGGCAGCTTCTTTCTTGGCATGATGAGCCTGTAGAACTGCTACAGCTTCATCTACCTGTGAGAGAAATGTCCAGGTAGTCAATGACTTGGAGAGACCCTTGGCCCCACTTGTGTCCAATATTCCCTTATTCCTCCCTCGCTGAGAACAGAAGCCACTCACAGGTGTGAGTAGCAGCTCACCTTGGAGCGGAGGGACTCTGGGGACTCCAGCATGTGCAGCAGCTCAGAGTTGTCGATCTCCAGCAGCATCCCTGTGATCTTTCCAGCCAGATTTGAATGCATTGTTTGGATAAGGGGAAACAAACGTTCTCCTGTTGGGCAAAGCAAAAAACCCCACATGAAATGGAAGCTGGGCGCTGGAGGCACATGCCTATAATCCTAAGTATACAGGAAGCTGAGATCTGTGGCTTAAAGTGGCAGAGTGCTAGCCTTGAACAGAAAAGCTAAAGGACAGTGTCCAGCCCCTGAGTTCAAGCCATACCTTACACACACACTACACACAAACACACATCCATACACACCAAATTCCACTGAATAGATGGTCCAGGTTGGCCCTCTCCTGGAAGCAGGCGGGATACTTACCCAGCATCTGTTTCTGTTCTTGGGGGGGTGCTGCAGCCAGCATGGAGGCTGTTAGAGGCTCTTGCCCCTGTACATGGACTGCAGGCTGCGGTGCCTGGAAACAGAAAAGCAAGCCAGTCAGCACCAGGAACAGGATGCTTGGCCACACCTGTACACATACCTATGTACACTTGTTTGCAAAGGACCACTTCTGTTGGGAATAGGAGTGGGGCTCAGGTGAGGAGCAGAAGGGCGTGGACATAAAAACACAACAATTTACAAATAAAGGATATATTATCAGAAAGAGAAGGTGAAAAGTATGCTGACATTTCACTTGAATTACCAAGGATTTATGTTGTGTATCATAGCCTTTTCCTGAAAGAACTCCCATTAGGGTCTATTCCCATACAAAGTTGGGTCAGTGTGAATCAGTGAATAGCCAAACATAATTGACCCCTTCCTCAGTTGTATTTTTTTTGGGGGGGGGGGGGGGGGGGTCCGGTCGTGGGGCCTGAACTCTGGGCCTGGGCACTGTCCCTCTTCAGCTCAAGGCTAGTGCTCTACCACTTGAGCCACAGTGCCACTTCCGGCTTTTTTCTTTTTGCTTATGTGGTGCTGAGGAATTGAACCCAGGGCCTCAGGCATGCAAGGCAAGTGCTCTACCACTGAGCACTATCAGCTGTATTTTTACCAGAGATGTAGATATTTGTCATACCAAATAATTGATTATGGTGTTAAATCTAAGTCACAGACCTAAAAAGTACAGCCAATACTGGTGGCTCTCATCTATAATATAATCCTAGCTATTGCTCAGGAGGCTGAGATCTGAGGATCGTAGTTCAAAGCTAGCCAGGGCTTTGAGTCTGTGAGACTCTACCAAGTACCAAGTGGCTCACTGGGACACCATTGGCCAGAGCTGGGATCTATCCTGGCTTACAGGCCTTTCACCTCTTATTGACCTTGGTTCCAACCCCTCTTGAAGAGAAGCAAAGGTTCAAGTAGACCACTGGATGTGAAAGTGACCTAAAGGCTCCAACTGATGAGTAGGAATGGCTCACTGCCTCTGGGGGAGAAGATCTGGGTAAACTGTGACCAGACCACCCACAAAACACAAGCACCTACAGAACAAGTATGTAGTACCAGTTGGGGGCATTGGAAAACAGTCCCCTTGTTTTTGAGGGGAGGGTCTGCCCTGGGGCCTGGAACTCTGGGCCTAGACACTGTCCCTCAGCTCTTCAGCTCAAGGCTAGTACTCTAACACTTGAGCCATAGCACCACTTCTGGTTTTCTGGTGGTTTATTGGAGATAAGTCTCATGGACTCTTATGTGGTGCTTACGAATTGAACCCAGGGCCGCATGCATGCAAGGCAAGCACTCTACCATTAAGTCACCTTCCCAGTCCAGAAAAGTATCTTTTAAACCAAGTAGGAATAGGGACACACAGTATGGTGGGTCTCACCTGCAGAGGCTGTATGGCAGGGTGGGGGCTGCGGACACTGGAGGCATACTTGTAGGGTGCCACAGCCCGAGGAGCAGCAGCAGCAACTGCAGCGCGAGGTGCTAGGTTGGGCACAGCTGTGGGAACACCTTACAGAAAGAACAAGTACAATTAAAGCCCATCAGTCTGAGCACAGACCCGTCAAATCCCATCTTTCCCCCTTCTGTGAGCACCCAATACCACCTCCAGACTGGCAGCTGTCAGTCAGCCCTTGCTGGGCGGCACCAGCCCCACCAAAGTCCATAGCCAAGCGGTCCGGGCACTCAGACCCTACAACAGACCAGCAAATGCACATCAGTGTTGGCAGCAGATGTCCAACTGGCCACGTCCCACGGAAGGAGAAAAGTCCAATGTGTGTTCGCAGTCATGTCACACAGGGGTCACTACTGCTACTTTCAAGCCAAAGGACAACACACAACTCTCCACATTTTGGAATACATACACACTCTGGAAGTCAGCTTTCTTGTACCCTATCCCACCTGAAAGAACAAGCTATCTCTGCAATCATCCAGTAAGCAACCTTTACAAGTCATCAATGAGCAAAGAACATTGATCAACACATCTAGACACACTGGCTCTCTGCTCCTAAGCACAGATACCTACCCTAAATACACAGGACAGAACCAGGACTCAAATGAGCCCCACAAACTGACCCAGAGAGGGCAGAGCTAGTCATCCTGACTCCCTCCTCCCCGCTCCTACAGGCCAGTTTGCTCACCGACTCTCTGAGTGGTAGTAGGGAGGCCACGAGAGGCCGGAGCATTACCAGTTGGAGCCAGATGGCGAAGAGTTGGACGAGGCCCAGACTGGCGAATGGCACTTGGCATTCCTTGGAAGCCTGGTGAAGAGACAAACAATGATAAATAAAGAGATGCTAGGTGACTTCTTGGGGGACATGTAGGCAAAGTAGGTAGAATTGGGCTCTCTACTACCTACCTTGAGGTCTCCCGCCTTGCTGCCAGCGTGGGTTAGGCCTCATTTGTGCTAACTGGTTAGGGGTGTAATATGGAGGTCTTCCCTGAGCCTGGATGGAAAAATAACCAAGTCTCTTTATTAGAAGGACTGAAATCCATGCCTGCAAATCTGACCTAACTACTAGGCTGCAGGCTAATTAATTCCTTTTTTTTGTGTGTGTTGGTCCTGGGGCTTGAACTCAGGGCCTGCGCATTGTCCCTGAACTTTTTTTTTTTTTGGGTCTAGTCGGGGGCCTGAACTCTGGGCCTGGGCGCTGTCCCTCAGCTCAAAGCTAGTGCTCCACCACTTGAGCCATAGCGCCACTTCCGGCTTTTTTCTTTTTGCTTATGTGGTGCTAAGGAGTTGAACCCAGGGCCTCATGCATGCAAGGCAAGCGTTCTACCACTGAGCCACCTTCCCAGCCCCTGTCCCTGAACTTTTTTGTCCAAAGCTATTGTTCTAGCCACAGCCCCACCTCTAGCCCTTTGAAGGTTAAGTCTGATACTTTCCTACCCAACATCTGGCCTTGAATCTCAATCCTCAGATCTCAGCCTCCCCAGTAGCCATGATTACAGATTCCCAGCTTCATCATTTTGTTTGGAAGGCCTCTTATGCTAGTTTTTTTTTTTTTTTTTTAAAATATCAGAATCTAAAATTCCCTTTCTCCAACTACCACAGCAAATCAGAGCAGCTGTCATGGCATGTCTTGGTCATGTGGCAGACCCACCTGTGGAACTGCTGGCACAAAATAGCCACCAGCTGCAGGCTGGAACTGATTCAAGATGGCATTGGCAGGGAGTGCTCTCATCCCGGCCACCCGCTGCATGTACTGGTTTGTCAGGTGAGCCTTTCTTTCTTCCTTCCTCTGGGCCAGGGCAACATACAGAGGCTTGGAGCCAACAATGCGTCCATTCATCTCAGTGACTGCTTTGGTTGCTTCTTCAGGGGAAGAGAAGCAGACGAAGCCGAACCCTTTGCTCCTTCCATCCTCTAGCATCACCTACAACATGAGACCACTAACTTCAGAAATAGTGCAGCAGAGGAGGAACGCTGCCTAGATAAACCAAGAAACCTGATTTTTGGGCACAAGTTACCAAGTTTGGCCAAGGGTTCAACAATGACTACTAACAGTCACAACTTCTAACATACCTGGGCATTTCCTATTTCAAGTCTTCAACAGGCACTAATATCCTTCAAAACCATGTGACTAGTGGTAAAACCCAGAAGCCAAAGATGCTTCCTGATACCTAAAGGCATAGCTAAAACTAGGCATCCTTAAGGCATTTAAAAATTTTTTAATATTGAGAGTTTAAGCTCAGGGGCCTCTTGCTTGCTAGAGGTCACTTGAATCACGCCCCCAGTCTTCCTCAAGAGATCGACAGGAGTGTTGAAAAATGTAGTTGTTTAACAACTTATTTATAGAACTCATCTGGTCCAAGCTCTTAGCAAGGTTAGGATAACGCTTTTGAAATAGCAAATGCAAGCAGATAACTCAGGAAGACAGAGGATGGTTATTTGTTCAGTCAGAGGTAATAGCAAGAAAAACTGGGCAAACTTAGCCAGAGATCACCTTACCCCAAAGAGGTGATATGGCAGACCAAGGTCACCAGCCCCGCCACCCTCATTCTTATCACCCAAAGGACTTGTGAGAACAAGCAAACGATAAATACACATCGCAAACTATGGAAAACCAAACTTTCCACTTCGTTTTTTCCATAGGTCTCAATTCCAGCTCTAAATTTTCCAAACACCTTCACAGTCAGGGAGAAATGTGGCAGAGTTGTAGAGACAGGCCCCAAGACACATGGAAAACAACCTGTCTGGATATCCTCTGCTTGTAGTGTAGCACCCGCTGTCCCCATTCCAGCACCAAGCAGCGGGCATGGGAAAGATGTGGGTGCTTTGGAGCTACAGGGAGTCCCTGCGTCAGATTCCACACTCCATCCATAGTGGGATGACAGCAGAAGACCAATCTGTTGGAATACTCAACTATTCTCAGCACTATCAACCTAATTTAGACAGAATAAATGCCGATAAACCTAGAAGAGGATATTCTGCTTTTAATGCTAACATCACATACATAGCAAAATACCTTAGCACTGGTGATTGAGCCAAAAGGAGAAAATTCTTTTCTTAATTTCTCATCATCAATGGTATCATCCAAGTTCTTAATGTAGAGATTCACACCCTGAAAGAGCAATACCACTATTAGTAACACACCTCCACATAGATTATTCTCCAAGACTACGAATCCCCAAATGTGTTCCTCAGACCAGCAGCAACAGCAGACACGTCCTTGTGACTTGTTAGAAATGAAATTCTTGCCAGGTACGGAGGTACACGCCGGCAATCCCTACACTCAGGAGACTGAGGAAGACCATAAATTCAGGGTCAGCCTGGGCCTGAGACTTCCAAAGAAAACTCTTGGGCAGGTTCCCAACTAAACCAATCAGGCAAGAACCTCTGGGACTGACCCAGCAATCTGTGTATTAAGTTCCCAGAGGAATCTGAGCATATTTAGAAATGAATGCTACAGGACATCACTCCCATAAAGTAATATCAAGAAAAAACCCACACAGAAAAAAGAACAGTAAGTGGAGAGCCCAAATCGTGTCCCTGGTTGGGTAATTTTGCAGCATATCTGGATGGTATATCCCTTTCAATGTCATCCTCAGTGGGAAAAATAAGACAGATAGATGCTAAGTCCCCTAAGACAAAGCCTACCTCACTTAAATGTGATCTGTTAATTCCCTGGCATCGGTATGCTGATCCAAGCCCACCTCACCTGGTATCGGCTTATTCTCTCCTGTTTCAGCTGTTCAAATTTCCGCTTTAGCTCAGCCTGCCGTTCTACTTTCTTCTGTGCACGGCCTACAAATATAGCCTTCCCACTGATTTCTTTTCCATTCATTTCTTCCACGGCCTAGAGAGGAAATCCATGTCTTTAAGCCACATCGGGGAGACAGACCTTGTTAAATCTAACCAACTATTTGTTCTGAGAAAAATGCAATCTCTGAAGTCTTCCAAACAAATCCACAAGTCTTTCAAGTGTTTGTTCTTCTGGTAGTAAGTTAACCTTACTGCCCTCTAGGTTTCAGCGCCCTCACCTATGCAAGGGAGCAAACACCTGCCCTAGCTCTTTCAACAGCTGAGGTGACCGCCTCGTGCATTTGCTTGAAAACAGCTAAATGATCCACTAGCTGTGGAAGCCCCTAAGAAAGACAACTGCAGACAGTACAGGACGTGTGTACCACTCCAGCTCTGCCCACTCTCTGCAACCATCTCCTGTATGTTCCCACAGTGTTATAATCACCTTATTGGCATCCTCGTGTTTTTCGTAACTCACAAAGCCGAAGCCTTTGGATTTCCCGCTGGGATCTCTCATCACCTTGACACTGAGAGTCTTACCTATTAGCAAAGGACATGAAGGTCACACCTCTATCATGGCAAGGAAAAGATCTCTCCCTAGGATCTTGTTGAAGCAAGTCTCTAGCTGAACCCAGATGGACAATGTGAGCATGGACCCCAACTTACCAAACTGGCTAAATAGCTCTTTCAGATTCTCATCATCCACCTCTTCCCCAAAGTTTTTGATATAAACATTCGTGAATTCCTTGGCTTTGGCTCCAAGTTCAGCTTCACGCTCTTTGCGAGACTTGAATCTCCCTACAAACCTATAAGAAAAACAGTGAACAGCAATCATTCCAGGGAACAAAAAGTCTTCGAAGGGCCCAAAGGAATGCAGTTAAAGGCTCACAGGAGAGGTTAAAACACGAGGTCCCCATCCACCAGCAAGAGAGCAAGCTCAGAGATGTCCCGTTCCCAGCAGAAAGAAAAGAGGCAGGACTACCCTGGAAGGAAGGACCAGCCCCAGGGCTCCTGGCTCAGACCAGGGCTGCTCCTACCACATCACAACTGCCTTCGTGAAGAAACCTGACGACCAGATTTTTAAAACGTTCATTTCTGTGCATCTATGTAAATGCAAAGAAAAAGGTCTGGAAGGATATAAACCAAACTGTTAACAGCGGTTAGTCCTAGGAGTGAGATTACTAGACATCGCTTAAAGGAAAAAAAGAAAAAAAAGGTGTTCACACTGTATATATGAGAAAATATGCACTTGGATTTTCTATTTTTTTTTTTCTAGTGATACCTGTAGAACTCACTGCTGGGCACAGACATCAGAAACACAACCCATCCTCTGGTTTATTCAATGCCACAAAGGACAGAAATAACTTGATTGTGACAGCCAAGGCATGTGGTCCCTCCTTCTCCCCACATGGCTCTGCTGTCCCTTCTCTCCATTCCACAGGAGCAACCACAACAAAGCAACAGGATGTTAAGAAGTATCTCTGGAAAGAATGGGTTTTTTGTCTTAACCAAATTATTACTGGGGAGTCCTGCGTTAGAGGCTGGAGAACTAGAGGGACAATTTGGCATCAACAATTAGCAAAGACTCATGGAGAGACCAGAGTCCAATGAAAACCAAGGTCATTTAGCTAGTATACAGCTCCTGGTCAGCACAGGGCCCTCTCCACTCTGCCACTGGCCAAGACCCCTGCTCAGAGTAGGCTTAGAGCTGTCTTCCAGCCAGCCCTAGTTGCTGGTGCTCACAAAACCCACAGACAAATGCCTTTAAAAGGGAGAGGCAGCAGGCAGGCCATGGCTTGGGCAGGGAGCCCACCTTGGCGAGTCAAAAGGGCTGCCATGGCTCAGGCAGGGAGACTCACCAGCCCTGGAGTGGAGAGGTAGGAACAGGCCACACTTGGGCCGAGAAACCAGTAGCCGCCTTGTCTGTGCCAGTTAATACCGAGGTGGGGCCACTGCTGGCTCATGCGATCGTTGTTGCTCCGGACTGGGACACTCACACTTTGCGGTCATTGAGGAGCATGCCATTCATCTTCTCGATGGCCTTGTCAGCAGCCTCTTGGGTCTCGAAGTGGACAAAGGCATAACCCTTAGAGCCGTTCTCATCACACACCACCTGCCAAAGGATAGAGCATGCTTCAACATCACTGGCCAGCTCCAGAGATGCACCTTTGTGGTCCAAGGCAGCCCACTAACTGCTCCAGCTGCTGTCTCATAGTAGATACACAACAGACACCTGGCAGATATCTTTCCTTACAAGCAGTGGTTGCCACCAGGCTGCTACTATTACTGTTTTTGTTTTTTCTGTTTTTTGTTTTGGGTCTGGTCGTGGGGTTTGAACTCTGGGCCTAGGCACTGTCCTTCAGCTCTTCAGCTCAAGGCTAGCACTCTACCACTTGAGCCACAGCGCCACTTCCAGCTTTTTTCTTTTTGCTTATGTGGTGCTGAGGAATTGAACCCAGGGCCTCAGGCATGCAAGGCCTACCACTGAGCCACCTTCCCAGCCCTATTACTGTTTTCTTAGTAAAAGACATTTAAGAGATCTGAACAAAACCTAGAGCTATAGAAAGACAAACCATTTTCCAACTCAAACAGGGATTTTAATCTAGTTGGTGTCAGACATAGTAGCTATGTGGAACACTTTGTAAAACTTCCATGGTAGCTATATACTAAGAGCTGCACGCCCACAACTCTGGACGACACCTGTAATCCTAACTACTTGGGAGGATGAGTAGTTTGTAGCTAGCCCAGGCAGAAAAAGACCTGAAGACTCTACCTCCCAAGTCCTAGGGTTTCAACTCAGGGTCTGGGAGCTGTCTGAGCTTTTTTGCTCAAGCCTAGCACTCTACCATTTGAGCCACAGTGCCAATTCTGACTTTTTTTGGCACTTAACTGGAGAGAAGAATCTCATGGACTTTCCTGCCCACACTGGATTTAAAACTGCAACCCTCAGATCTCAACCTCTGCCTCCTCAGTAGCTAGGGATTTTAAATACCCAACACCTATAGAAATCTTTTGCTGAGATTTCATTTCTTACATAAAAAAAAAAAAATCACCATAAGCTGTCATTTCCATTTCTAAAGTAGTTCATTAGTTCAAGATTCAAGTTAATTTTTCTACTGAAATCATTTAATCAGTGTTTACCTTGCAGGACAGAATATTTCCAAAAGCGGAAAAAGTATCATAAAGTGCCTTGTTATCTATAGATTTGTCCAGGTTCTTGATGAAGACATTTCCCACACCAGATTTTCTCAAAGAGGGATCCCTCTGAGACCACATGATCCGGATTGGCTTTCCCTTAATCACATCAAAGTTCATGGTGTCCAAGGCCCGCTCAGCTGTGAAAGAGAAACACAGTTTGAGAATTCAAATAACGCAGGTAGGTAACTGCCACCATCCAATGACTTCACTTTTTCAAAGTAAATGGCCTTCATATTCACAGCACCATGATTCTAATACCTCACCTCTGACCAAGTTTTACCATTTATAGAAGACACTTTTGTAGTCTATCATCAACCCATGTGGAACAACTAAAATGATCCCTGAGCACTGGTGGCTCAGGCCTGTAATCCTAGAATCTGAGGATAGCAGTTCAAAGCCAGCGTGGGCAGAAAAATCCATCAGACTCATCTCCAATAACTACTCAGAAGAAGCAGGAAGTGGTGCTATGGATCAAGTAGTAGAATACCAACTTAGAGCAAAAAGATGCTCAGGGACAATGCCCAAGCCTGAGGACTGGTCAAAACAAGAGAAAATAATACGTTTTTTTACGTGGGTCCAACTTCAATTTCTAAAGTATAGAAATTGTTCTTAGCATCACCAGGGCAAGAAGAATAGATAAACCCACCTCATCATTGCTCAACAGTAGAGCAGTCAGGCCTGTTGTACCTGTGGTATCAGGCCTTTCAAAGTTTTCATCTGAGTTCAGTGAATTCTAGGAATTTGGTGATCCCAGACTCCTGTGACCCTGCTCTCCATCCAGTGGGATGTCTCTTACCCACGTCCAGGAGCCTACTGCAGAGCCATATAAAGGATCAGGAACACTGCTCTTCACTAATAGCAACAAGGACACCCCAATCTCCTTAGATTATCTCATCACAATCACCTCACTGCTACAGTGACATCACCCAGAACCTCCCCTACAAGAAAGGCTATGCTGCTTCCAAAACAGGACAAGGACTTTGGGGGCAGAGGCAGAGCATGCGCCTAGCATGTTTGAGACCCTGGGTCTCACCCCCATCACCAGTTCCACAAAAAGGGAGAAAAAAAACAAAGTTTCTTAAAACTCTGCCCAAGCTGAACTGTCTATAATCAGCCAAGAATTTATTTTTACTCTTTCATCTCCATTAACTTTTCCTGAGGTATATGGGAAGGGGCAGACTGGGCAAAGCTGATGACAGGACATATCTACCAAGTAAGAAAAAGTCCAAGTACAGGAGTTTACCTATGGTGGCCCTGGAAGACACTCACAGTGGGCCTTCCAAGCTACTTCACTAATTAGCAGTAAAGGAACCCATTCCAACCCTGTTCCTGGTCTTTTTCCAGACAGCAGTGAACAGGCCCAGTTGGCTTAGTCTGACAAATCTAGGCACTTATTTATAGCAGGGAGAAGTCCTGCAGAGGTATGCGTTGGCAGACAAGCTGACCAATGGCTTCTGCTATCTACAAGTGACTTTTGTTCAGAAGAGTGAAGGCACAGGCAAGATCCAACACACCCCACAATGTCCCCTAAAAAAGCTACACTGGGCTCCCTCTACCTTTTGGGATCCTTTGGCCAGAGCAAACTCAGCTCAGAGCATGCTGGACTGACAGGAACTATAACCAATCTTTAGTCAGTTGCAAATGGCCAGTGCACGGGCAGTGAACAAAAATTGGAGACCAAGTAATAGGGGATCTGGAGATCCTGTCACAAAATGGCTTGTTTCTTCCAGTAACAGACACTCCAGTTGTCTCCCACTTGATTTAGAGGCTCGTGCAGCTGGATAGGGCTTCTTTCCTCTGTGCTCCCTCCTCTCACACTTGTGGCACTCACGCTCCATGTGAAGGCTGCAATCAGGTGACTGAACACCACCTTCTGCAGTTCCTTTCTCTGTAGGAGTCCTACTTACTTTCTTCAGATGAAATGAAGTAAGAAGGCTGACAAGCATAAAAGCACCACTCACAGGTGAAGCAAATAGTTGCCGCCAGTCCAGTAAATTGAAGTGACACTTTAAGCCTGGGCTACCTGGGTAACTTTCTCCACACCTTAGAGCTTCACCCAAGAGCTGAGAACTACACACCAGTAGCCAACAGCAGGCAGCTGGCCTGGTCCTAAAAGTTCTGATAGCATAAACACAGCCCCCTGAGTCCACTGCACACAACCACCTCTCTTAATAGCCCCAAATCGAAGACTCTAGTACAGGTTAAAGGTGGGGGGGGGGGGGGGAGGGGAGAGATGCAGGCAGTAGCTTTGCAAACTTTTGCAGGGCACTGTTCAGTCCTTTGAAGAGTCTGTACCCACTGACCAGGGTAGGGTCTGGCACAGGCCCTACCTCATCTGAGTAGGGCCAGACATTGGAGTAACAGTTACTTCAACGTGCAGATTTACAGCCTCCCGGAGATCCAATCCCCACCCCCTCTCCCATTCAGTAGCCCAAGGTCATCGACCAGTTAGCAAGTGGTGGAAGAAGCAGGTCTGAAAAGGGGGGAGGGGAGGGGAGTGGCGTCATGACAGCACACCGGGCTGGGTCTACACCTGCATGCGGGGCTCTCCACTGTGGCTTCCGGGGCTACAAGCTGTCGTGAGCCGCCCTCCCCCTCCCTCCCTCCCTCCCTCCCACCTCTACCCAGCAATCGGGCCCAACCTAGATGACTCCCAGGGTCCCCTGGGATCCCACGAGGATGTGCGGGCACCGCGTGTACTCACCGTCAGCTGGCTGCTGGAAGTTGACGTAGGCATAGCCCAGAGAGCGGCGGGTGATCATATCGCGGCAGACCCGGATGGACAGCACAGGCCCCGCAGGACTGAACTTTTCGTACAGCATGGCCTCGGTGACGTCCGAGTGCAGGTCGCCCACGTACAGGGAGGCCATGGGGTAGCTGCTGGCTGCAGCGTTCATCTCCCCGCCCCCCACCACCCCGAGCCCCGCCAGGAGGACTTCTTACTGGGGACCCACTGCAGGACAAAAGGGGGCTCCTCTCGGGGCCGTGGCCCGCCCGCGCCGCGGCTCACAGGTGGCAGGCGCAGCGCGGCACCGGCAGAGGCGGGTCGGCTCGCCCGGGACCGCAAAAAGACGACGAAAACCCCCTCGAGACAAAGGCGTTCCCCACGAGCACCACGGCCCGGCCCCGCGGCTCTGCAACGTGCGGCGGTCCCGGCTTTGGAAGTCCGAAATTAAAGGAGGAAATGCACACCCGCGCAGAAAGAGACGCTACCAGCGAGCGCGGGGGATCCTGGCCGGGGGGAGGCAGGCTCCACCTCCCGCGGGGCCGAGGCTGCGCGCGGCCCGGGGGCCACGCGTCTCCCGATAAATATAGGCCCCGGGCTCCCGGCGGTTTAAGATTACAGCCGCCCGGGCCGGGGGAAACCGAACCTCTGCGGGAGCGGATCCGGCCAGCCCCGGGCGGCGGCGGCGGCGAAGGGCAGCGCGGACACGTGGTGCGCCGGCCGGCGGCGCGGGGGGCGCGGGTGCCACGCGGCGGGCTGCGGGCGGGCGCGGGGAGAGGCGGGACGCGCGGGCCGGGGGGCGGCTCACCACCACACACGGGCGGACGCGGGAAGGCGCGGCGGCGCGGGGCCGCGGGGCAAGGCCGGAAGCGTGCGAAAGTGACTTCCCTGCAGACGACTCGCGGCGCCCGTGCCCCGCTCGGCTCTTTCTCCTCCTGCGGGTGGCGGCCGCGCCTCGGGCTCGGCGCGGCTTTTTTGTCTTTTCCTCCCCTTCCCTCGAGGTTTTTCTCGCGTCTGCAGCTTCCCCACCCCCCCTCCCTAATCTTTTTCTCTTTTTCTGGCTTTAGGCGGCGGAGCCCGAAAGCGGAGCAAGCTGCGGCGACCCGGGACGGAGAGAGGCGGCCGGAGCAACCACCGCTCCATTTATACCCGCCCGCCCCAGGCGCTGCTGGTCGAAGGGCGCCTTGCGACCTGGGCGCAGTCGTGCCCGCCCACTCGGCTCGGGGGCCCGGGGCGGGGCGGCCACGCGAGAGCGACCTGGCGCGGCCGTGCTGCGCCACAGCGCCACCTGGCGCCCGGAGGACCGTCCGCCCGCGCCTGCCCAAGACCCCAGGGCCTCTTTCGCTAATAGGTACGTCCAGGGCCGCACTCGGCTCCTCGCAACCCGCACCCTGCACTTCGCAATCGACCCCCCCCCCCCCACACGCCGTGAATGGAATCTCGAAGTGATTTCACCCACCTGCTCGATGCATAAAACATCCATGGGATGCCTACCATGAAATAATAGGTGGTTCGATTTGGAAATGTTTGGACCTCAGTACAAAGACGGATTGAAGTTTGGGGACCATTTATGACCTTGACGTAGAATCCTAGAGGGCGCTAAAAATACAAGTAGTATCCATGGGTGATGGGGTTTTTCTGGGAAGAGGAGCAAAACGTTGGCAAAGCTTCCCTGAAATAAGACATGGTCATCCTATCAGTCAAATTGCTGGAAATTCAGTTTATACTTCAAGGTGTGTTAAAAAAAAAAAAGTTTTTGATATCTACTTAAAAAGGAATGTCTAGGCTAAGATTGTGAAATTATAAAGTGATTTTTTTAATCTCCTGAAGGTCTGCCAGGTCCTTTGAAAGTCATGATGTCTCATGGGACAATGCTACCTGGAACTATTCCCATGGCTTTTACTCCATAAATACCAGGAACCAACCTTGTTCTTGAGACAAACCAGAAGCAAACTACCAAAAAGTACACGGACACCCCCTTTGAAAACCACCAGGTTAAATAAATGAAGAAATGAGTGTATTTGTGTATTTGTTCACTCTAATAAATGATTCCCAGAGCCTCTCTTTGGTAGTCCTTAGGGATACCCTGGTGGATAAGAAAAGTCCTTCTTGCCCGGCGCTGGTGGCTCACGCCTATAATCCTACCTACTCAGGAGGCTGAGATCTGAGGATTGCGGTTCAAAGCCAGCCCGGGCAGGAGAGACTGTGAGACTGTGAGACTACTATCTCCAATAAACCACCAGAAAACCGGAAGTGGCGCTGTAGCTCAAGTGGTAGAGTGCTCGCCTTGAGCTGAAGAGCTGAGGGACAGCGCCCAGGCCCAGAGTTCAAGCCCCACGGCCGACCAAAAAAAAAGAGAAGTCCTTCTTTCTTTCTGGAGGTTACAATCTAGTCAATGTATTAAACCAAGAAGGGTTTATTGGTGAGGCATAGTATCTTATGCCTGTAATCCCATCTACTCAAGAGGTGGAGCCTAGGTCAGCCCAGACAAAAGATTCTCCAAATCCCATCTCAACAAACCATAGGTGTGTTATTATGTATCTGTTCTGCTAGTCTTATGGGAAGCCCAAAGTAGGAGGATCTTGGTCCAGGCTAGCCCTAACAGAAGGCCAGAGAGAACTGGGCAATGATGGCTCACACCTGCAGTCCTAGCCAATCAACAGGCTGAGATATGAATATTGCAGTTTGAAGCCAGGAAAGTTCATGAACTCATATCTCCAGTTAACCACCAAGAAGCCAGAAGTGGAGCTGTGACTCAAGTGAGGGAGTGCTAGTCTTGATCACAAAAGCTCAGGGACAGTGCTCAGGCTCTGAATTCAGGCCCTAGGACTGGCTTATACAATAAGTACAAAATAGGGGCTAGGAATGTGGCTTAGTGGTAGAGTGCTTGCCTGGCATGCATGAAGCCGTGGGTTCGATTCCTCAGTACCACATAAACCGAAAAAGCAGGGGGTGGTGCTGTGGCTCAAGTGGTAGAGCACTAGCCGTGAGGGCGGGGAAAAAAAAGCTCAGGGACAGTGCCCAAGCCCTGAGTTCAAGCTCCAGAACCGGCAAAAACAAAAAAACAGACAAATAAGTACAAGATGGTTTCACTCTGACAAGTTCTATAGATGCACACAGTATACTTGGAATGAGTTCACTCAGACCCCCAAACTTCTGTTAGTATCCTCATTAAAGTGTATTAAGCCAGGCATGGTAGCTTACGCCCGTAATCCTAGATGCTCAGAAGGCTGAGATCTGAGGGTTGGGAAGGTGGCTCAGTGGTACAGTGATTGCCTTGCATGCATGAGGTCCTGGGTTCTTCGATTCCTCAGCACCACATAAGCAGAAAAGGCCAGAAGTAAAACTGTGGCTCAAGTGGTAGAGCACTAGCCTTGAGCTGAAGAGCTCAGGGACAGTGCCCAGGCCCAGAGTTCATCCCCCCACAATGGACCAAAAAAAAAAAAAAAGAAGAAGAAGAAGAAGAAGGCTGAGATCTGAGGATCACAGTTCAAAGTCAGCCCAGGCAGGAAAGTACTTGCGACTCCTATCTCCAATAAACCACCAGAAAACCAAAAGTGGCACTGTGGCTCAAGTGGTAGAGTGCTCGCCTAGAGTTGAAGAGCTGAGGGACAGTGCACAGGCTCAGAGTTCAAGCCCCATGACTGACCAAAAAATTTTTTAAAAAGCTTATTAAAACTTAATAAGGGACTGGGAAGGTGGCTTAGTGGTAGAGTGCTTGCCTTGCATGAATGAGGCCCTGGGTTCGATTCCTTAGCACCACATAAGCAGAAAAAGCTGGAAGTGGCGCTGTGGCTCAAGTGGTAGAGCACTAGCCTTGAGCTGAAGAGCTGAGGGGCAGCGCCCAGGCCCAGAGTTCAAGCCCCACAACTGACAAAAAAAAAGAAAAAGAAAAACTTAATAAGGACATTATGAAAATCAGCTAATAAATACAAATATACATAGTTATTACTATTGAATTATCTGTCCTAAAGACAGAGAGGGGCAGTTCTGGAAGCAAAGGAAAAAACAACATGTATAAAGCCCCTGAGGTAGACTGTTGCTGAACCTACAGGACAGACTGATTCTGTGGGTGACAGAAGAGATGGTTTGCTCTTAGATGACTGGAAATGCTTTGGACTTTATCTTGAGGTCAAAGGACAAAGCTGCAGGATTTAAAGAGGCTGGCTCACATTACAGTTTAAAGAAAAAAGATACTGCTGAAGAACATGGCTCCAGTGGTAGAGTGTTTGCCTAGCAACTGCAAGGCCCTGAGTTCAAAGCTCAGTACCAACACACATACAAAAGGACTCTGATCCTAGAGTGGTGCCTTTGGTCCAAGCACAAAGGCAGGCTGTTCAACACTGGACACTGGTCATCATATCTATAAGCCTACTCATCTGACAGGCTTGGTCTTTTCTGTTGTTGTTGTTTTTGTTTTTGTTTTTGTTTTGTGCTGGTACTGAGGGTTCAAGTCAGGACCTTAGGGTTCTTGCTTGGCTTTTTCTCCTCAAGACCAGCACTCTACCACTTGAGCCTCAGCTCTATTTCCAGCTTTTTTCTGGTTAATTGGAGAAAAGAATCTGAAGGACTTTTCTGCCAGGGCTGGTTTTGAACCCTTGTCCTTAGATCTCAGCCTTCTGAGTAGCTAAGATTACAGGCATGAGCCACCAGTGCCAGACTTAATTAATTTAAATCCTCTTAAGAAAAGGGCCAATTAGGAGCCAGGTGAGGGTGGCTCACGCCTGTAAGCCTAGCTACTCAGGAGGCTGAGATCTGAGGATCACAGTTCAAAGCCAGCCCAAGTGGGAAAATCCATGAGACTCTTTTTTTTTTTTTTTTTTTGGTCGGTCGTGGGGCTTGAACTCTGGGCCTGGGTGCTGTCCCTCAGCTATTCAGCTCAAGGTGAGTGCTCTACCACTTGAGCCACAGCACCACTTCCGGCTTTTCTTTCTCTGTTTATGTGATGCTGAGGAATTGAACCCAGGGCCTCATGCATGCAAGGCAAGCACTCTACCACTGAGCCACCTTTCTAGCACAATAATCCTTCAGGAGTCTTGTTTTGTTTGTTTGTTTTGTTCTTTTGGGTCTGGTCGTGGGGCCTGAACTCTGGGCCTGGGCACTGTCCCTCAGCTCTTCAGCTCAAGACTAGCGCTCTACTTGAGCCACAGCGCCATTCCATGAGACTCTTATCTC